AATACTTGAATTTTTAGTTTCTAGGTACTGCATATTTTTCCTTCTGCTTGCCTTATTTTTACAATGGTGTTTTATAAAGACATTACTAAAGCAAAGGAAAGAAGGATTTTGAAGAGGAACTGCTATATAACACTGCTTAAAAATCTATTTCCAATGCTAAGGAGAGAACAGAAAAAAATCCTGGCATTATATCAGAGTGTGATCTTGGATCTGAGTGATTGGCCATACCTAGAGTCACTGTCATCGAAAAAATATTTATCGAGCCTAGTGGAGAAGGCAGGCAGAATAAGATGGCACTGTGCCAAGGGCTGCATCCCCTTACTGGTCAAAAACAAAAACAAAACAAAACAATCAAACAAACAAACAAAAAAACCCAGTATATTTTCTATCAGATTGCAATCTCAGGATTTAAAAATAATAAAAAAATAATATTTTAAAAATCTAGCAGTTTCTTATACACCATAAGTGTTCAAATTATTTTTTTTAGAATTAATGTAGTTTGCTAATTTTATAGCATATCAGTAAATAATTAATCTTTATGTTAGTAAAAGTCCTGACTTGCTTGTAGATAAAGTGTCTTTATCATCCCCCAGGCATTTCTAGATTTTATTCCTGAAGCAGGAAGTGTTAATGTACTATAGCATCAGTATCATGCAATGAGCTCTTTCTTAACACTTCATGCTTCAGGCCCTGACAATTATATTCTGAACAAGGTGATTTTCTAGGCAGACATTGCCTACATGGTATTATATCACCAGGGCACCAAGGAAATCTTAAATATAGATATGTTTTTTTCACTTACTTGTGTCTGATATATAAAATTTCTCCTAAACATTTTTATCAATTATGTAAGAATGGCATTCTGAATGAAAACTTCACAAAAATGTAATCTCTAAATCAGAAAGGATTTATTCCAGTTTATTATATTCTTTACTCTCAAGGAAGGCCAGACAAATTTCACTCTTAAAGAGATGTTGTCATGTCAATGAAAGAATTTAAAGTGTTTAGGACAGGAATTAGAAAAAGTATGATGCTAAATCTAGACGTCATGCATGAGGTATGTGATTTCTCTGGATCTCCACTGCTATGGATCATAGCCTGCAATCTATTTACTGTATAATTTTTCTGAGCCTTGTTGTGAATTACTTGAGTGCTCAGTTGTTGTTGTTTTTTCCTCTGTCGGGTAAAGGGATCGCAACCCTCAGCACAGTATGGTCCTCACGGCGCTCAGCCAGTGAGTGCACGGGCCATTTGTATATAGGATCCGAACCTGCGGCCTTGGCATTACTAGCACCGCACTCTCCCGAATGAGCCACGGGGCCAGCCTGAGTGCTCAGTTTCTGTTTTTGTTTGTTTTTTTCTGACCGGTAAGGGGATCGCAACCCTCAGCACGGTATGGTTCTCACGGCACAACCCTCAGCATGGTCTGGTCCTCACAACGCTCAGCCAGTGAGCGCACGGGCCATTTGTATACAAGATCCGAACCCGTGGCCTCGGCGTTACTAGCGCCACACTCTCCTGAATGAGCCACAGGGCCGGCCGAGTACTCAGTATTTTTTGTTTTGTTTTTTGTTTTGGTTTTTGGTTTTTTGGGTTTTTTTGTGACCGGTAAGGGGATCATAACCCTTGGCTTGGTGTTGCCGGCACCTCACTCTGCCAGTGAGTGCACCTGCCATCCCTATATATGATCTGAACACACGGTGGGAGTGATGCACTCTCCTGAGTGAGCCACGGGGTCAGCCCGTGCTCAGTTTTTAAACACATGTTACTTCCTCTAGAAAACCAGCTTGAGGGCTGGCTGTGGCTCAGTCGAGAGAGTGCTACGCTGGGAGAGCAGTGGCGCTGGGAGCGCCGAGGCCGTGGGTTCAGATCCTATATAGTGATGAGTGATTTCCGGTGCGCTCACTGGCTGAGCGCTGTGCGGACGACACCAAGCCAAGGATTGCAATCCCCCTACCAGTCACAAAAACAAACAAACAAAAAAAACAAGAAACAACAACAACAAAAAAGAAAACCTGGTTGACAGAGACTTTCAGTAAGATGGCAGAGTAGAGGTGCCCATGAAGCATTCCTCCCACAGAAGAAGATTAAAAAGGGGCACTCTGCCACCACTGCCACAGTCACCAGAGGCATTGTCTACTGCACAGGTACCACATCTATGAAGGATGCCCTTAGAGCCACCAACAGGTAACCTCGCTGCACTGCAGACACTATAGCTGCTCAAGCCACTGCTGTGGATAACACAGTCAATTGGGCAACTGCCGCAACCACCATTTCTACAGTCGCTAGCACCAATGCTGCAATGCAGGCACCACCTTCATGCAGCCTGCCACCACTGGAGCCACTGCTGCCACATAGGCAGCCCACAAAAGTCATGAACACAGCCACTGCCATCACAAGGGAAGTCTACTATTACAGCAGCAGCCACAGCAACCACTACTGCTGTGCAGGTGGACTGCCAACAACTCAACGGCATTGACCCTACGAAGGTCAGAAGTAAAGTCCAGGGAAGGAGAGTAATAAAGCAGTACAAGAAGCAAGATGACCAGACAACAATATAGACATACTACAAATACCAAAAAAAAAATAAATAAATAAAAAAATAATGATAGAAAATATGAGTCCACTAAGGAATACCATAACTCTGAAGTATCAGGTACCTTAGAGTACGAAATCTGTAATAAGACCGAAAAGGAATTCCATGTAAAAATCCTAAGCAAACTCGGTATAAGAAGATTTAAGAAGGCACAGTTAGACAACACAATGTACCGAGTTCCGGGCCAGGCCTTTGCATTTCCAGGCAGAACCCGGCCCTTGGTGGGAGCCCCCCCACCCCCCGCGAAGCCGGCGTTGCCAGGGAAGCCAGCGTTGCCAGGGACCCCCGCGTGTGCCGTGGAATTCTGAGCGTTTGGATGGGGACTCGTCCCGTGAAGGCCGATGTTCGAGGACATTTGGCGGGGTTGTCCGACGGCGCTGGACGCTTCCTTCGGAGCTGACAGGGTCGTTCTGTAAACCCGCAGCGATGTCGGACTGGCTTGGGGGCCTCGGCGCCGGCTTGGGCCAGTCTCTGGGTGGAGTGTGGGGTGGCCTGGCTTCCCTCACCTGCCAGATTTCAAATCTGACAAAGAACATGCTGAGGGAGGCCACGGAGGAAGTGGAAGGTGAGAGCTGGAGCCAGGGGAGGGAGGGCTTTCCTGGGACCCTGGGAACGTCCGTCAGCAGACGGGGACAGGTCGCAGACGACTCCCACCCCGTCCCTTTTTATTACCACTCCTCCTTTGACTCTTCCCGGTTGGGTTGAGTTTCTGTGATGAATGACCACGGGGGTCTGCGGGAGGAGTCTGGTTCTCGTGTTTGGACTACTCTGGACATCTCAGAGTGAAACTGCTCCGAGGTGGAGTAGAGTTTAGTTTTCTTTGGTTCATTCACACCCACCACTTATTCTGCCCTCATTTTGGGGGCAGATCTGAATTTTGACCATCTTCATTTTGTCACAGTTATAAGAAGTGTATATGATAAGTCGCCACTTTTTTTGTTTTCTTCTATTTTTGTAACAATGGAAATCACTGATAATTAAAACATTTGGTAACTCTTGCCCTTTCTGTCTTGTGTATATTATTTGTTAGTGAGACAAAGCTGTTTTTTCCATTCAGTTATATTTTTACTTACTGTGATGACACATTGTACAGTTCCAGCTGCTTTTAAAAATTACTATTCTAAACAGATTAGGTTATACTTTGTCTTCTTCAGGGTAGCAATTAGACAGCTAGAGTTTCAAACAAAATGTGTAAACAACCAGAGAAGCAACCCTACCTGTGATTTTCAGAACAAGGGTGTTTTGTCAGTACAATTTATTGCATGCTGCTTGTATTTTCTTTTGACTTATATTATAGTTCAGAGAAGTTGTTTTTATAATATTAGAGTGCTGTGAGTAATGAAAAAACACTAATACCTAGAAAAAAATAACTTTGTGGATGATAATTTTCTGACAGCATCAATGGTGTTATTTTGGCACTACTGGGCTCTGACTTCACTTTAAAATGCAAATGTATAAAATCAGACTGAGCTCATTATTATTTTTAGTAAGTTATATCTATGTTGGTTTAAACAAGCATTCTTTTAGTGTATTTTCATTTTTTGTTTACAGGTCATTAATTATTTGATATTATTAGAAGCAGAAGTTAGAAATAAGGCCTTAAGTCCCAGTTGAATAAGTTTCATATAAAATTACAGGGTAAGTCAACAGAGAAAGAGTGTCAGTTTTCAAAACTTAATGAGCACTTCAAGGGAGTAAAGGTAGACATCCGAAGGTATAGGACACAGGCAAAATAATGACTTCTATGATAATGACCAACATTAATGGCAATGGAAAGTTGTGATGAAAATCAAGTGGTTTACGTCTGAATTTGCTCTCATATCTGCCTACTATTCTGTTTAAACCCACTGAAATATATTTTCCTTAAAATGCTTGCTTATGCTTCATGTGTTGATCGGATATTCAGTATATGCTATTTCTTTTGTAACAGAATTACCTTATTATATGAGAACGGAAACTGAAGCCATTCAAGCAGTCTTAATATCAGAGGTAAGGATAATTAAAGACTGATTAAACTTAGATTTTTCTTTCCTTTTTTTCTTTTCTTCTCTTTCTTTCTTTCTTTTTTTTTTTTTTTTTTTTGTGGTTGGCCAGTAAGGGGATCCGAAACCTTGACCTTGGTGTTATCAACACCTTGCTCTAACCAACTGAGCTAACCGGCCAGCCCAGCTTTTCCTATTTGGAAGCTGTGAGAGTTATTCAAACTTTATTTCAGTCCTCTCATTGTAAATGCACTCCCTTCCACTTTTTATCTCTTCTTCTTTATGTCTGTTTTTGTGAGCTTTTATCAGCCGCCTTTAGATGAAGAATATATTTACATGTTACTGCAGTTTGCTGTTCTTTAATATTCCCATCTCTATTTCTATATGCTGGAAGTAGGAAAACTGCCAAATGTAGAAATGACTGTTACAAAAATCTATCATTATCGAGGATTTACTGTGTTCTAAGAGTGTGTTTAATTGCAGAAGTACATTTAAGTATAATATGAAGACTGTAGTTCTGTTTAATTTACAGCTTTTTAATTCCCAAACATTAAAATAACAATTATATTTGGATACAAAGTAGTTAAGAATATAGGTATAGCAAATTAATTTTACCATTTTATTCATTATTGGTCAAGTGTCTAGTCGTAACCAGTTCACATTGTACTTAATAGGGATGATTTAAGAATATAGGTATAGCCAATTAATTTTACTGTTTTATTCATTATTGGTCAAGTGTCTAGTCGTAACTAGTTCACATTGTACTTAATAGGGATGAGAAAAGATTGGAAAAGAGTTCAAAGGAAAGCCATAAAGAAAATGAAAGGATTTAAAAGTAGTTTCTAGGGCCGGTCCCCTGGCTCACTTGGGTGAGTGCAGTGCTGGGAGCGCCAAGGCTGCAGGTTCAGGTCCTATATAGCGATGGCCGGTGTGCTCACTGGCTGAGCATAGTGCAGACAACATCGTGCAGAGGGTTGCGATCCCCTTGCGATCCACTTACTGGTAAAAAAAAGAAAAAAGAAAAAGTAGGTTCTATTGTAAAGGAGTAAAGAAACTCAACTATTAACCTTGAGATAAGAACAGTGAGAGAACAATTAATGATTGTGTTTCAGCAAAAGATATTCTTAGAGGTCTGTGGTAAGCATGTTTTCCTCTTAACTATGCCCATAAAAAGAGAACATTGAATTTAGATATTAGAAAATATTTACTGACTAGCATTGTTGAACTCTGGTCTAGATTATCCAGGTGGGATTGTGGAATTTGAAAGTAGAGGGATCTCTCAAGAACAATTACAGTGGTATTCTGCTTCAGTACAAGATGACAGTTTGGTGGCACTTAGAGATCTTAGCTAATACCTTAGTAATTACCTAATAAGTAAAGTAGGTGTGTTCCAGTGACAAACAGTTTCTTTGTGTACAGCCGAGATAGGAAATTGTTCCCACAGTTCCTAAAGAAATCCTGAGAAAGCACTCATTGGCACAGATCCACCCAGAAAAATTAAAGGGCAGAGGTGTGTGTAGGAGCATTAGCTTTGGTTAATTCACCAGTGTACATTTCGATAAAAAAAAATAAATAAGGTTAACCTGCTCAATGAATGTCTGCTCCATATTGAGCTTGAGAAGGGAGATAGAAGTCTTCTGTCCTTCTGTTGATCTCAGTTCTTTTAATGCCTCTCATAGTGTTATCATTGGACTATAGTATGATTCTAGTGTTTAGAAATATTTGTTTCTGATAAAACACCTCCAAATGCAAGTTAACTTTCTCATTTGGTGTTTATTCAAAGTACCATAAGCTACTCAAATAGTAGAGGAAAAGAGACGATTGGACTTCCCAGGG